TTGGCGCACCTCTCACTCGGCTAGCATCCCCATATATATATATATATATTCAGGCACGCATACCCTTTTATAATTTTTACAAGGGCATCCGTTCAAGGGGGGATTAGCTATATACATATATTTATATAAATATATATATATACATTCCTTCACTCAGTTGGCACATTTCATGGGTTTGTTTTCTACTATCAACTCTATTTATTTTAATTACTTTTCAACCTTCCTCTGATGTCTGTTGCACACACGCTCGGTCTTTACAACTGCATATTCTAAGCACAACTCTTTCACATGGCACACGTTCCATCAGGTCACTTTATTATCTAATACTATTGTCCATAATAGCATGCATGCTTGCTTACTTTATAACTTTCAAATATGTCTAAGTATTAAGTATGACTAAACACATGTATCTTGTCATACTCTATACATTTTTTTTCTTCAAAACATAAGCGAAAGAAAGATTACTATCGAGACATCTCACCTGCGAGGTCCAAAACTTTATACACGAAATAAAAAATCTACTTATCACGTGGACGCACTCGATGTCAGGAAAAACGTCATATTTTCTCGACACAATAAATACTCTCACTTATGCAGTAGTGTCTCATGCTAGTCATTTGGCTCGCACACTTACTCATCTTTAAGCTTTCCCACTTTACTTAAATCACAAAACGTTGGCACCTCACATGGTCATCAAATTTCATCAGTACGTTACGCTTATATGAAAACCTCGAGCAATTTGTCATCGAGTACCAAAACCTTGAGCCATCCTCAAGTACTAAAACCTCGAACGATCTGTCCTCGAGTACCAAAACATTAAGCCATCCTCAAGTACTAAAACCTTGAGTGATCTGTGCTCGAGTACTAAAACCTTTCCCTTTTAAAACTTTCTCGAGTTCTCACACTTAGAAAGATTGGATTCTCATCAAATGTTTTCATTTCAAACATTTCTTGAGTTACAACACTTAGAAATTTTGCAAAATAAAACATTCCAACCTAGGCTACCAGGCCGACACATCACTTATACACAACTATCCTTCTATCTTCTACAAAGTCCACCCGTACAGGGGAACTATATAAACCATTGACACTACACATACCACACTTGTGTTGTCATATTTCAAATTGGCCACTTCGCTCGCATACTTACTTGTAGTTTGCTCATGCCAGTACTCACTTGCACTCGCTCTTGCCAGTACTCACTTGCACTCATTTGTGCCATTATTGTATCAAACTTAATCGTGCAAGTACTCATTCACACTTGATCGTGCTAACATAACCTAACTCGTGCTTCTCATTTGTTTTGCAATGTCCATTGCCATCCACTTGGCTTGCACACTTTTACACACTCTAACTATCGCACTCGCCTTTGCAAACACTCAATCGCCCTCTATCGTGCCCATACGTTCCTACTCAAACCCTGGTATCACGCCCAGGTATCCAAACCCTGGTCTCGCGCCCAGGTACCCAAACCCTGGCATCTCGCCCAGGTACTCAAACCCTGGCATTGCGTCCAGGTACTTAAACCCTGATATTGCGTCCAGGTACTCAAACTCTGGCATCGCGTCCAGGTACCCAAACCCTAGCATTGCGTCCAGATACCTAAACCATGGCCTCGTGCCTAGGTACCCGGGTACCTGGCATCGCGTCCAAGTACTTAAACCCTGGCATCGCGTCCAGGTACTCAAAACCCTGGCATCATGCCCAAGTACCCAAACCCTGGCATCGCGTCCAGGTACCAAAACCCTGGTATCGCGTCCAGGTACTCAAACCCTGGCATTGCACCCAGGTACCTAAACCTTAGCCTCACATCCAGGTACCCAAACCCTGGCATCGCGTCCAGGTACTTAAACCTTAGCATCGCGTCCAGGTACCCAAACCCTGGCATCGCGTCCAGGTACCCAAACCCTGGCATCGCGTCGAGGTGCCCAAAACCTAGCTTCGTGCCCAGGTACCCGAGTACCTGGCATCGCGTCTAGGTACTCAAACCGTGGCATTGCGTCCAGGTACTCAAAACCCTAGCATCGTGTCTAGGTACCCAAACCTTAGCATTGCGTCCAGGTACCGAAACACTGGCATCACGTCCAGGTACTCAAACCCTGGCATTGCACCCAGGTACCCAAACCTTGGCCTTACGCCCAGGTATCCAAACCCTGGCATCACGTTCAGGTACTCAAACCCTGGCATCGCACCCAGGTACCCAAAACCCTGGTATCATGCCCAGGTACCCAAACCCTAGCATCCAGGTACTCAAACCCTGGCATCGCGCCCAGGTACCCAAAACCCTGGCATCGTACCCAGGTACCCAAACCCTAGCATCGCGTCCAGGTACCGAAACCCTGGCATCACGTCCAGGTACTCAAACCCTGGCATCGCGCCCAGGTACCCAAAACCCTGGCATCATGCCCAGGTACCCAAACCCTGGCATTGCATCCAGGTACCGAAACCCTGGCATCACGTTCAGGTATTCAAACCCTGGCATCGCTCCCAGGTACCCAAAACCCTAGCATCGCTCCCAGGTACCTCAAACCCTGGCATCGCACCCAGGTACCCAAACCTTGGCATCACGTCCAGGTATCCAAACCCTAGCTTCACGCCCAGGTACCCGAACCCTAGTATCTCGCCTAGGTACTCAAACCTTGCCATTGCGTCCAGGTACTTAAACCCTGGCATTACGCCCAGGTACTCAAAACCCTGGCATTGCGCCCAGGTACTCAAAACCCTGGCATCGCGCCCAGGTACCCAAACCCTAACATCATGTCCAGTTATCCAAACTCTGGCCTCACGCCCAGGTACCTAAACCCTAGCATCTCGCCCAGGTACTCAAACCCTGGCATTGCGTCCAGGTACTTGTACCCTGGCATCGCGTCCAAGTACCCAAACCCTAACATCACTTCCAGGTACCCAAACCCTGGCATCGCATCCAGGTACCCAAACCCTGGCATCTCGCCCAGGTACTCAAACCCTGGCATCGAGTCCAGGTACTCAAACCCTGGCATCGCGTCCAGGTACCCAAACTCTGGCATCGCATCTAGGTACCCAAACCCTAGCATCTCGCCCAGGTACTCAAACCCTGGCATTACGTCTAAGTACTTAATCCCTGACATCGCGTCTAGGTACTTAAAACCCTAGCACCACGCTCAGTTACCCAAACCTTGGCATCACGTCCAAGTGCCCAAACCCTGGCATTGTATCCAGGTACTCAAACCCTGGCATCGTGCCCAGGTTCCCAAAACCCTGGCACACCGGGTCACCAAAATCCGGTTTCGTACCAAGTTAAGTAAAACCTTATGTAAGCACCACTTTCAGTCAATAATGCACGGCTAACCTTCTATGAATTCTACAAAGCTCACCCGCGTAGGGAGACTAAATGTAGGTGTTGAATATATCTCACTTTAGATGGACCACATTTCTTGGTCAAATGGTCAACAAACTATGCCACATCATCAACAATGGCCCACAAAGCTTGGTCAAATGGTCAACAAACGACGCCACATCAGAAACGATGGCCCACAAGTCAAACGGTCTAAATTGCATGACACTTACCACGTCAGTATACCTCAAATAGAAGATCGAAGACTTGAAGACTTGAGTTGGGAGCAGGACTCAAGAGTACTTGGGATCCGAGGAGGTTCTTGGTTTGGTGGATGAAGTTCAGGGCTCGTCGAATTGACACTCGACCTGACTCATAGAGAGAGATACCATTTTGACTCCCATACATTTTGGATCTATCTTAATTAACTTTATTTTATAATGTTAATGGGCCCCACATGTGATGTCATATGACATCACCCAACCCCTCACTTGACCTATATAAGGAGGTGATCCAAGGCTAAGCAAGAGGTAGAACAAAAAAGGGTGAGGATTAAATAACCTATCATGCTTCCTCCATACACCTTCATCAAGGGAGTTAATGGTGTGCTACTACACTGCCATCTTCACTCTCTCTCTCTCGAGTTTGCCTGTACTTCCACCTCTCTCAGTCTACCTCGGATTCTATTATGTTGTCTGGATCCCTCATATTTGTGTATGATATCACCATTTATATGTATTTTATTGTGTTACGAAAATGAACCCCTACATTGTTGTTAAAGGCTGCCCCTTTCACATAATTTTCTAGGTCCTCCCATGTATTTGGAACTTTTTTTTTTTTTTAATTTTTATAAAAAAAAAAATCATTTTCCTTTATAAAAATGACATGCACTGTGCAGTCCAAGTTAAGCTAGTTGAAGTAGGATTGATTTGCATGAAACGGTCAACCTTTATCCATGGAAAAATGTACATAAAATGACATGCAACGGTTCAAGTGGTCCATGTGTACTTGCAGATCATCATCTTAAATTAACTGGCATTTAAGGTCGACGGATTCATTGATCTACCACCAACGAAGCCTTCAGGGTAAAAGCTTAATTTAACCAAATTGTTAAATCCCTGCAAAGAGGTAAAAGAAGATTCTCTTTCTGCCAAAAAAAAAAAAAAAAAAAAAAAAAAAAGCATTAAGAAACGAAAAATCAGTTCTGTGCTTGTGTTCTCTGTTTTTCCTTCTTTTCTTGCTTGTTATGATCCACAGTATTGTGCACCTGTCTGAAAACAATTTTACTTGCACTTTCTCCAACTTAATTGATTCCTTTGTTGCAGACTTTAGTCGTATTGCTCGCCTGTGAATATCATCCAAGCATAAGCAATTTACTGTGTTTAAATGCCATGAAATCAAGTGGTTTCACCCCCACTCCGAACATCCTACATGTTTTGTATATATATATATATATATATATATATATATATGTATGTATGCAGAGAGTCTGTAGAAGCTACGGTAAGTTTGTTTGGATAACAACATTGTACTTGTAGTTTTTAAAAAATAACAGGAAAAAACATCATAGGGGATAAATTCTAGAGATCAATTGAATTTTTGGCTGGATCATTGTGAAAAGGATGGTGTCTTGATTGTACTAATATGAAAGAGAGAATGTCTTGATACTTCTTTTACACACAAAATGATAACTGAAAATTAAGTACTTCACAGTAATGTCCCATCTTTTTTAGTAGTTAATTATAACGAACACCACCAATGCAGAGGAAAAGAACAAGTGAAAACTTCATACCATAAAGAGTATACAAATCAAAGAGTACTCAACAGCAATGCAGGATCCCTCTGAGTCTCAGCAGAGGAGGACGAGGACGCGGTGTGACAAGTGGCACGACAAGTGGGACAGGAAGAATGGGAAGACAGCCATTCCCGGATGCACTGGCTGTGGAAGCCATGGTTGCAGCTGTCTAAAACCCGAATCCCCTCTCCCTCGACGAACTCTGACAAGCAAATAGTGCACTCTGCCTCTGCCCCTGCCCCTGCCCCTGCCAGCTTCATTCCTGATGAAAACACAACCATACGAAGCCCTTCCACCGCGGACACGGTACTGGTGCTGAGAGTTGGCTTTGGCTGGGCAGCTGCTGCTCGTGTTGCGTCAGGTGGAGGATGAGGGCGGCGAGAGCGTAGAAAACAGCATATGGTGGCTTTGAGAGCGAGGGAGCATATGAGAGCACAAAAGAGAATGACAAGGATCATGAAGGCGTTGGCTTCGAAATCCTTGGAGTTGGAGTAAGGCCACCATGAATTGGGACAGGGGTGGGTGTTGCATGGTGCTGGCTTTGGTGGTGTTGCTTCTCCTGAGGACGAGACCTCAGTGAATTTAGCTACTGTTAGTCGCATTTGGGACTTTTAGTTTTGGTTATGATCAGTTTTTCACCTTCTAGCTTCACTATGCTACTTTATAGAAGATGTTGAGACAGAGAGATATAGAGAGTTGTGCGCAAGTGGATAATGAAATTATGATGATTTTATATACAAAATTGCAAATTGTAACCATTTTCCAGAATATTGTTGGTGATATATTCCACATATTGCAAGTCATAAATGGAAAGTTTTTTTTTTTTCTTTTTTTCGATAATTATATATGGAAAGTTTTGGTTCTACATAGTTTTAAAACAGTCATTCAAACTAGTGTACATGAATTTTAATCGTTACCATATGGATTGGAACTATTAATTAAGGTCACCTCAATCTTGAACAAGATATCAACGGTCCACTATGAAATATAAATGAAAATTTGAGAGTTATACGTTCTTGTGATGTGCATGTTAGGTGGAGAAAAAAAAATTCATGATGTCTCTCATAATTAGTGATGAGCAAAATATGGTCAAATCTTCGTGATGAGTAAGGACAAATAAAATTAATTAGGGGTAGTTCATGCTAGGATATTTTGTTAGACTCCAGTAATTTGTGTTCGATAAAGACTCTTATCAGTATTTGATCAATAATTACAACATTAATTAGTAACAAAAATTGATCCACAAGATATGTTTTTTCATTAATTAGTGTTTTGTTCAACCATCAAATAGGCAGCAAAAATGTATTCAAATACTTGCTGATCGATTTTCGTTACAGATTTATTGATGTGACAATCATTGATTTTAACCCTAAGAAGAGTCAGTGTAACATTACTCCATGGGCTAGACATCACAGTGTATCCGAATCATTTTTATAAGTTCAACATTGTTTGGCAAGGATTGAAAAGAAATCAATGGATAAGTTGATAAGAGCTTTGAAGCTATGATGTACAGTTTATCTAAAAAAACAAATACTGATTGGGATATTTCATGTTTCTTCTTTGTTTGTATTAGGTCAGAGAGAAAGAGGTACGTCTCAAAAATGCAAGAAAGACATTGACCCTTCCCAAGCCCCTCAACTTTTTGATGGAAATTGCAGAGTGACACACTGTAGTTGATGAATATGACCACGACACGCGGCTCATAATGACTCGACGACAAATTTAGGACCCACAAAAATAATTTAGCTATCATATAGTCCACATGTATATGTATATGTATATTTGTATACTAGAACCTTCCCTTTCACATTTAATTTGGAGAACTTATTATAAGAAGGGAAAAAAAAAAAAAAAAAAAAAAAAAAAAACGCCATACTGCAATTGCCTGCATGAAGGGCAACAGCACAGTTGCTGGGTGGGGGACATCCTCCATTAGAAGTCCAGAGGGTGAGCCGTTGGGTAATTAATGAGTTAAGTGGTGGCAGTTGGGATTGTTTTATGCTATATATATATATACATGGAGACTATGGAGTCAGCGACGGATCTAGATTTTTTTTTTGAGAGGGGGCGTTGTTGAAGAATGAAAAAAAATTGAAGATAATTTTTTAAATAAAATAATAAATAGAAGAATTTAATTTTTTGTGACTTGTTTGACTCAGATTGTTTAATTTTTTAATCGTGTATGTGATTTCTAGATTACCATAGATATGGTAAAAATTGAATGGAAATATCAAAGTGTATGTGAGAGAATCATGAATGTGGCGAGATGATTATCTTTTAGATCCAAAAAATGAGTGGGGCAAGAATGTGAAGTGTGATATTTTTACAAATTGAGGGGGCATTTTTAAAATTTTTACAAATTAAGAGGGGGCATTTTCAAAATTTTAATAAAAAATATAAATAATAATGCAAATAAAAAAAAATCCAATGGGGCGGGTCCTTAACCAGGTCCGTGCCTGCATGGAGTACAATCAACTAATCCATTTACATCACTATTTTTTTTCTTTTTTCTTATGAGATAAAATACAAATTGTTTTATATTCTCTTCAATATGTAAGAATTGTGAGATTAAAAAATAAAATTGTGTAAGATAGGTGTACAGGGCCGGCAACCTCTCTCATTTGAATTTGATGTGAGACAATAACTCATAACATTCTATCTGGAGCAGCACAATTCTCTATCCGAAGACGTGAGACAATAACTCTCATAATATTCTCTCACACTCGAATTCGCAATGTCTCTTGTTGCAATTGGACCACTCGACTTACCCATCTACCATAATGGCGAAAGAAGCAGGTCACTGTCTGAACAAAGACCCGACCCATTATGTAAGCACTTGGTGTGACACAAAATCAAGAACCGAATCTATTCTGATACCAAGTGCAATAAGTAGGCCACTTGCTGCCTACTTGCTCTTATAAGCTTAAGTTTTTTTCTATCCCGATCCACTCTAGAATTAGAACCCATAACGATAGTTGACTAGCCCAAAGAAATTGGGCCAAAAGGCCCGATATTTCCAACCTACAAGTGTTCTTGCCGGTCAGATTACACTTCATAAATCCATATAAAACAAACAACAGCCCAATCCGAAAAGGAAAGCCCCTACACCCAATAAAATGGGGAAGAAAAAAAAAATTAGTCATCAACAACCTTAGAGATGCAACTTGAACAAGCTACTCAAAGTCAATTGGAGTCTAGCTCCATTTTTTATGGAATTGGGCAACTATTTCACAATTACGTTAAGATTGGGCTAAAATCTTCAACCTAAATTTAATTAGTATTAGGCTCGAATTAGAATATCAATGATTTTATATATTTAGCAATTTATATATATTATACGTAATTATAATCGTTATCAACTTTTTTTTTTTTCTTTCTAATTTTGATTTATAATATATTTCCATTCAAAAATTCTTGAGATGGTAATTAACATTCAGTAATAAGTGATGTTAATATCACATAAAATAGAGAAAAATTTAAGTGACACCTACCGTTTTTAGTGACATTTAAATTACATTTTTTTCCCCCCCTGGTAAAAGCAAGCCGTACGACATCTACAAGCAAAATATAAACAGCACCAAACGTAAATCAACATGCAAAATATAAACAGCACCAAACATAGATTACACCTAAGCAAAACACACAAAAACAAAACCCGACAACACTATAAACACACCAGATCAGTGGGACTGTTGAACCCGAGAAGTACCATTCCCAACCAACAAAGTGAGCTGCTAAGCAAAAGACTGCGATTGAGAGGAATCCGAAGTAAGAGAATCAGCAGTCTGTGGACCCAGAAGAATATTCCCCTCCACATCAAAGGTAAACTGATCCGAAGCCAAACATTCCTTAACAGACGTCTCACGAACTTTAGGCTTCTTATTATCTGTCAAAGATGAATCCGGAACCACCAGAGGATGAGTAGGTCGACGCTTCCGTGTAGATTGCGCCAAAAGAGAACCCTGAGTAGGAGACGAATCCAATGAAGCTGAAGAACGACCTTTGCTACCGGTACAAGACTTCACAGGAGCTTTACCTTTTCTACGACCATTAGAATTAGGAAGCCAACGATCCAAAGGCAACACTTGCCCATTCTCATGAGATAACGATGGAACACACTGAGCAGGTTCCTCCATATGAATGGAAGCCACCACACTTTGAGTAGGAGATGTGGAAACATTAGCATAAGTCATCCCATCAACACTGGGTCCCATGGGAACACCAACACCCACTGGTACACACAACAGAGCCCCCTCAACTGAAGGCTTAGAACATGCACCAATATCAGGACAAACCCCGTCCCCAGCCTCCACTCTCGCGTCAGACATAAGCCTTTCCACACACTGAGGAGTAACAGAATCCACTTGACCAGGAGACACACTGGAACAGTGTGCTCACCACCCATATTCGAATCAACACCTTCCACATAAAGCCAATTATTACCAGGAGTGACCGTGAAAAAATCATTACGATTGCCCCCAGGATGCCAGATATCCTTTCCCAAGTAACCCTCAACCCCAACCAAGGACCATACTCCAGAACAGTCTCCGGGGTCTGAGAAGCAGTTTCCGAACAATTTTGCCATAGATGCCCCATAATGCCACAAGCATAACAGAGGGATAGAACTTTTTCATAACGGACTTGAAGCCAGACCTCTTTATCTGCCGGGCCCATTAATCGCACATTCCGGCGAAGCGGTTTAGAAATATCCAACTTTACATTGAGCCGTAAAATACAACTATCCACCAACATCGTTTCCTTACTTTCCATCATACCCCTATCGCAAAGCTCAACCTTCAAACAACGACCAAATGCATCAGTGATGCGGCGACCAACCAACTCCGAAAGATAATTCGCTGGAACATCACAGAGCTGAATCCAAAAAGGAGAAAATTGGAAGGCTGACTCAACTTGAAGAAGACCATCCGACCACTCTTTAAGGACTAACAAATACCAGTCAAATAACCAAGGACAGCCATGTAAAATCCGTAAATGAACCGAACTGTCCGGAATAACAAGTTGAAAAAAATTGCGAGCAATCTAGTACACAATAAGGCTAGAAGATATAGCCTCAGTCTGCCGCTCCTTGGGCCATAGCTTGTTAAACAGCCTACCAAAGGTATATTTAGCCCCAGCCAGCGTAATAGTTTTCGTAGCACAGACTCGACCAAACAAGCTATTACAACACAGAGACACCCCTTGAGCTGTATCCTTATCCGACAACTGAATCGGCAACTGCTCTTCACTTGTAAGATTTAAACCATTCATTTGAGCTATCAAAGAAGTAGCCATTAATCCAACACAAAGAAAAGAAACACCAAGACCACAAGCATAGACCCACTACGTACGATGACACGAGAAGAAAGATCCCATATACTCAAGGTAAACACGAAAACGACCCAAAATATATAAAACAACAAAAGAAAGGCCTAGAATTCTATAGAATTCGGTCAATTCTTGGTCAGCACGAAACAAAACCCAACCACAAGAAAGAAGGTAGAGATGAAGGACAACGTAACCCCCCCCCCCCCCCCCCCCCCCCCCGGCGCCAGTGCACAAAAGAAAACCGCAAGAATAATGTAACCCGTACAAGAACCAACATGAAACCTTGAAACAAGGAATAAAAGGAGAAAGCCACGTAGCAACAATTAAGATCACAACCAAAGAAAGAAAGATGACCATGGAAACATTGCTGCAATCTCAGACAAGTACCCACGTGAAGAAAAGCACTACGAACCAAACCCAAACTGACCCACCATAACTCGACCCAACCACACAATAGCCACTAGATCCCGAACCAAACAACCCGGAAACACCCCTCCAAACATCTCCGGCAATGAACATTATCCAGCAAGCCGGCCCTGAACCAGATAACCCAGAAACACCCCTCCAAACAGCGCCAACCAGGAACCCCAACTAGCAAGCAAGACATTTCAGAGGAACAG